CTTTTACAAGCTTATATGGATTTTTTTTTCTATGTAGCAGCAATGGCCAGGTAAACATGTAATGGGAGACACACAGCCACAAAATTATATATATATAATTTTTTCTAAGAATAAACTCTCTATGAAGAATCCTGTAATGCTGTTTAGAGACATTTAATACTTGAATAAACGAGGAGCTGTTTCTTGAGTGAAAAGGCTCCATGTTGTATGTAGAAAAACGTCTCATTGTATGGGGCTGGAAGGTTTCGGGGGGAGAATGATTTTTCTGGTGAGCTGACGGCAGTTGCTTTGACTATCTAGATCTTGTCACTGACATGTGAGAAAGGAGGCGCCTGTGTTTTTTTTTTTAAAGGTTTTTTGTGTATTTATCTGCCAGAGAGACAGAGAGAGAGAGAACCCAAGCAGGGGGAGCAGCAGGCAGAAGGAGAGGCAGAAGCAGACTCTCTGCTAAGCAGGGAGCCCGACTCGGAGCTCGATCCCAGGCTGATCATGACCCGAGCTGAAGGCAGACGCTTAACCAACTGAGCCACCCAGGCCCCCGGGGCTCCTCTGTTTGTAAAGTGTGGACAGAAATGGGCTGTCCTCCTCTGACTGTGCTGCTTCGAGGGAAAATGTCCACACCTCCCAGAGCCACGGGACATTAAGTGCTTCCTCTGACACACCCTGGGTCTGTGAGCTGCACCCCATCCCCAGGACCATGGGTTCCAGATTTCCTAGGGGAGGGGCCATTTTCCCTTGAAGAAAGCAAATCTAGCCACATCCTCTGGAAACCTTGATTCTTTACATTTAAAAATCTACTCCATCTGGAAAGTATATACCATAAGGTAGGAAGCAACTTTGTTTTCTCCTAAATGGTTAGCCCAGTGGGTTTCAGATTTTGCTCTACATTAAAAATCGTTTTTAAAAATTTAATTTATTTTATTTTTTCATTGTTCCAAGATTTATTGTTTATGCACCACACTTAGTGCTCCATGCAATATGTGCCCTCCTTAATACCCACCACCAGGCTCGCCCATCCCCCCACCCTCCTCCCCTCCAAAACCCTGTTTGTTTCTCAGAGTCCACAGTCTCTCATACTTCGTCTCCTCCTCCGATTTACCCCCATTCACTTTTCCTTTCCTTCTGCTAATGTCCTCCATGTTATTCCTCATGTTCCACAAGTAAGTGAAACCATACGATAATTGACTCTTTCTGCTTGACTTAGGTCACTCAGCATAATCTTCTCCTGTGCATGTTGATACAAAAGGTGGGTATTCATCCTTTCTGATGGCTGAGTAATATTCCATTGTATATACTGACCATATCTTCTTTAACCATTCATCATTTGAAGGGCATCATGGCTCTTTCCACAGTCTGGCAATTGTGGCCATTGCTGCTATGAACATTAGGGTACAGATGGACCTTCTTTTCACTGCATCTGTATCTTTGGGGTAAATACCCAGTAGTGCAATTGCAGGGTCATAGGGAATCTCTATTTTTAATTTCTTAAGGAATCTCCACACTGTTTTTCAAAGTGGCTGCACCAACTTGCATTCCCACCAACAGTGGAAGAGGGTTCCCCTTTCTCCACATCCTCTCCAACACATGTTGTTTCCTGTCTTGTTAATTTTGGCCATTCTAAGTGGTGTAAGGTGGTATCTCAATGTGGTTTTGATTTGAATCTCCCTGATGGCTAATGTTGATGAACATTTTTTTATGTGTTTGTTAGCCATTTGTATGTCAAAAAATGGGCAGAAGACGTGAACAGACACATTAAAAGTCTTGATGCCTGTTCATACCTCATACCAGTGAACTTGGAATGCCAGGCATCAGCACTTGTAAAGACCCATCCCTCCAGGTGATCCCAGCACGCAGCAAAGTTTTAGAACCACTAGTTCAGCTAAGGATCCACATACCTGTCAGTGAATTAGAATTTTTTCCATCTGCCTTAGGGTGACCACCCATTCTGGTTTTAGCACTGAAAGTTCTGTGTCTTTGGAAACTCCTCAGTCTCAGGCGAACTACATTTATGGATAAAACTATGTAAACACAGATCTGTTTCTGGGCTTCTCTAGTTTGTACCACTGCTGTCTGTCTGGCAACGATACCATGCCATTTTAATTACCATGACTTCGAAGTCTATTTATATACTTGATGAGGCAAGTTCTCCTTAATTACTCTCATTTTTAGATCTTTCTCAGCTATTTTCACATGTGGATTCTTCCAAATGAACTTAAGAATCATCAGGTCAAAGTTTCGATAGCCTTCCTTTATAGATTGCTTTGTGTGACTCATTTATAGGACCAGGGACTGTTCCATGTGACTGTCATATATGCACTTTAGTCCTTGAGTCTTAGATTGTTCTGGAGGGCATGATGTATAGGTATGGGTGTATGTGTATCTAGGTATGCATGTAGATTTTTTCCCTCAAATGACAGAATTTGAATTTAAGCTGGAATTTGAAGTCAAGAAGTCCTGTGTACCTGAGTTTGTTCTTTGACAAGGGTGTAGAAACATGCAGTGTGCATTGCCTGAGGAGGAACAGAGACAACGTAGGGATAGTGTCACTTCCAAGGAATAGGAGCCAAGCATTGAGGTGCAACTAACTGCCAGGCCCATTTGCCTTCGACCATCCTGACTCTCGAGGTGTGGGAGTCTGGCTGTCTCTCTGCCACTGCATTCGATGCATGCTTTGGGACCATTTGGGGGGAATGTTGTTACTAGAGAATGTGTCCACAAGAAGGTGACTGCCAGGTTCCGTCAGTCAGTGTCCTGGGCATTGCTCTCCTCTGTAAAAGTAAGAGATCTGTTGTAAAATGGTAAGTGGCTGTGAGGCAGGTTAGAGCCTTTGATGAACCCTCTGGGCATCTGCGCTTTAGTGACCACTGAGCCCCTTGATCCCTACCTGGGAATATATCTCTGGAATCAGTTTTGGGGTTTGGGGACGGGGTAACCTGTGAGGACATTCAGCCTCTATGGGTTCCATCACAGTGATAATATTACTGGTGTGGGGTATCTTGCTATTCTTTGGAATGCTCTGGAGAGGAAACACTGTGCATCTCTCAGCATCTAATGATTCTATTAAGACATAGCTGTCCATGAGCCCCTTGTAAAGGAAACTTCCTTGGACTGATTCACATGTTGGAAGCATGTGGCTTAGCCAGTAATGGTGCACACACTCTTGAGTGTCTGGATGGATGAAATAATTGTCTCCTCCATTCTTTTGGGAATATGCGCAATGCTGTGACCGGCCATCTGGTAAACCCAATGTCACAGCAAAATGCGTTTAGGACACCACTATAAGCAAAATGCTGTGTGGGTGCTCTGGGGAGTACAAAGCACAAAGGGTTTTTAGTTTAGGACTTTCTTGGGGAGATACGGTGGAAGAAAGAAAATGTAGCGCCTGGGTCAGAACTGCCATGAGAGCCCATGTCTCCTACCTCCACTCATTCTCTACTCCTGCTGAGCCCACAAACCACTGCTTCCACTGCCTGAATACCCCCTGAGCCGTGTCTCCTCTTTCATTCCTGCTGCTTTAGTTTAAGCCCTCATTTCTTTAAAAACAAGTTTTCATTGTGATAAAATGTACATATCATGAAATCTAACCTTGTCAACGTTTTCACAGGCACAGGCTCTCATTTCTTCTCTCTGGACACAGGAATAAGTTTTTAAAGAATAAATGAACTGTGATGGAAACAAAAATAAGACGTATGTAATCTAAAAGTACAATTTAAAGAATAAAGCAAACAGGAGAGTCTGTGTGGCTTAGTAGGTTAAGCATCTGCCTTTGGCTCAGGTCATGATCCTGGAGTCTTGGGATCACATCAGCCTCCCTGCTCAGTGGGGAGTCTTCTTCTCCCTCTGACTCTCCCCCTTCTCATGCTCTCTCTCTCTCTCAAATAAATAAAATCTTAAAAAAAAAAAAAAGAACAAAGCATATACCTGGGTAACCACTCAGCTGGAGAAACAAAATGTTAAACAATTGTTTGAATATCCTCTATGCCTTGATGCCTGATGCCAGCCCCTCACTTGCCCTAGAGCATGGACAAGGAATAGACTTTTCACTGTCTCTCTTCTTCCAGCATCTCTTCTATGCTGGGTTCAGACAGATGAGGCTAAAAGAGAAATCCTGTGTGTCACGCACCTGCTGAAATTTGCCTGATGACTCTGCATGGTTTATGGGATAAAAATGCAGAGTCCTGGGTGGTTGGGTAAGGACTTCCCCAGTTTGGATGCACAGGGTCTTCGAGGTGCCCTGTGATACTATGACCCACCTTCTGCAAGCTGCAGCCACACCCTCTGCCCTCTCCTGGGTGCTCCCCTTCTCTCCGTGGCCAGACAGGTACTGTCCTTCCCTTTGTATCCCCCTCCTGTGCCCTCACCCTGCTGAGCTCATGAGGCTAGAGCTCAGGTTCAGATTCTCTGTATGGTGCTCGGCCTGGACAGGTCCTTGCAATTGTGGTCATTGAGGGAATCTGTTTGAGAAGGAGGAGGAAAGAGAGGCTTCTGTGCACTGGGGAGGGCAAGACAAGCTGATAGGGGAGGGAAATTGAGTGGGCCTTTGGGGAACATTGAGGATTCAGACTTGGAAGTTAGCGTACCTCCTTATCAGACCTCATTATGTCTTCTGAATGCAAGCTTCTCTCTCTCTCTCTCTCTTTTTCGAGAATAAATAACTTGATCTGATGACCCAAACTGGGTGAGCATTTTCAAGAAGTCCTAAATGAGCTGGTGAGATTCTGGGAGAGAGGCAGTCTTCCTGGTGAATGGCAGGTGCCTCGCCTCTGCCCCTTTCCCTCCAGCCGTGTACGTCCTCTCTTCTCTTTGACGTGGGCATGCGCAGCTGTGGTGGGGATGTTGCATTATCGGAACAGATGTGTCTTACCGTTGCCATTAAACAACATGGTGGCCAAACACTCCAGTGGGTCCCGTGTGGCTGGCAGCCCGTGGCCTGGCACGATTCTTGGGGTGGCCATGCTTGGCTGGGTTCTCACTGTCCTCTCCAACATTCCTCCCCACAGTGGCTGCCTGCAGGTGACCATGGCTGTGTGAGTGTCCGCCATGGCCAACCGGAAGCGTCAGAGCACAGCGAGCAGCATGCTGGACCACAGGGCGAGGCCGGGCCCCATCCCCCATGGCCAGGAGCCAGAGAGCGAGGACGCAGAGCTGCCCCTGGAGGAGTACGTGCCCAAGGGCCTGGAGCTGGCCACCCTGCGGCCTGAGAGCCCCACGCCCCCGGACCAGGGGTGCCACGACCACAGCCCCGATGGGGACTCCAGCTCTGACTACGTGAACAACACCTCCGAGGAGGAGGATTATGATGAGGGCCTCCCCGAGGAGGAGGAGGGCATCACCTACTACATCCGCTACTGCCCTGAGGACGACAGCTACCTGGAGGGCATGGACTGCAATGGGGAGGGGTACCTGGCCCACGGCACACGCCACCTGGAGACGGATGAGTGCCAGGAGGCAGTGGAGGAGTGGACAGACTCGGCAGGCCCCCACCCGCATGGCCACGGGGACGAAGGCAGCCCAGACTACCGGGACAGCCACCTCCCCATCCCGGAGGACGAGGCCTCCGTCCTGGAGGCCCAGGACCAGGAAGAAGGTGTCCACTATTGTCCCAGTGAAGAGGGCTATGAGGACTACTACCCCACAGAGGCCAACGGGAATGCGGGCAGCGCCTCCCCTTATCGCCCGAGGCGTGGGGACGGGGACCTGGAGGACCAGGAGGAGGACATCGACCAGATCGTGGCTGAGATCAAGATGAGCCTGAGCATGACCAGCATCACCAGTGCCGGGGAGGCCAGCCCTGAGCATGCACTGGTGCGGGGGCCTGAGCCGGGGCCTGGGGACTCCACAGAGGCTAGTCCGCCCAGCGAGGCCAGCCACGGCCCTAGCAGACACGAGGGAAGGCCCAAGTCACTGAACCTCCCTCCGGAGGCCAAGCACTCCGGAGACCCCCAGAGAGGCTTCAAGACCAAGTCCAGGACTCCAGAGGAGAGGCCGAAGTGGCCCCAAGAGCAGGTAGGATGCTGGTTATCCCAGGGATGGGGGTGGGGATGGGCAGAGGGCCCTAGAGAGTAAAGGATGCTCTCCTGTCACCCATGTGGATGCCAAAGCCCATAGTTCAAATATGCGTTTAATTCTACATCTGTTCCATTACGTAGCAGGTGTGTGGATGTTCTAGTGCCATCCCGAAGATGCCCCCCTCCCACTAGGGGGCTAGTAGGCCTCCCGCTAGGGTCTCTAGCCCGCATGCCCTGTGTCTGCTCAGGGTTGGGGGTGGTCCGTGTTACTACCATCCCCCCACTAGCTGGTTTCTTCAGTCTGACAGGACGTTGGCAAGGATGTGAGGCTGCTGGCTTGTGCAGGGTCCTGCAGCCAGTGACAAGGGACAGTGACCTGAGCACATGTCACAGGGGCCACTGTATCCTGGTGACACTCTTCCAAAAGCTCAGGGGCTTGGCCTTATGGGCTATTAACTGTAAATAACCATTTCAAAAATAATTATGTGAAGGTTTGACAAAGGGACGGAGAAGAAATGCTGCTGATGCGGCCAGTGGATTTAAGCATGACTGTACTCCTCTTAATTATATCAAAGTGAGCGTGTGTTCTAACAGTTGCCTTTGAAAAGCAGCTTTTCAAAAAAAAAAAACAAAACCAACCCTCTGTGAATATATAAAGAAGATGTGATGATTGCACTTGTGTAAAGGAGCTTCTCGTTGGCCAATTCTGTGGGCAAATGAGAGCGAAACGCTTTTATATTTTTAAAGCCTTAATTATTATTTTTTTTTCCCCAGAGGAGTCCATGAGTTTAAAAAACACATACATATGCTGAGAACATGTCTTTGGGACATGAGTCATTCACTTGCTGCTAGATTTCTGGCACTGGCTCATTGATGCCTTTTGTTCTTTTTAGAGATTATTAAATGTAGGTTGACTTCACTGACAGGTGTTCCTGGAACTCAGGGCAGCTGTGCCTGCACGGGGGGCTTTGGGTTGTAGAGAAACTGCTGTTGCACCAGTGGATTTGGGGAGCTCCCCCAAGGATGGGTAGCTCAGGGGCAGAGGTCTGGGCTGTAGGCCAAAGTGTCGCTGGCCATCTTCACTTCAGCCGAGTTGGACTCATGGCCCAACAGCCGCTATGACCCCGCAGGGAACTCACGGGGTTGCCTGGGGCGGGTGACATAGTATGCTTTGTTGTGGTGACTTCCCTGACAAAGTTCTTGTCAAGAGAACATAATCTTTAGAGCATGAAGGGGAGGGGGCACTGAGGGGAGGAGTGGGTAACTTCTCTCCCTAAACAGTGTCTCCTCAAAGCAAATGCTCTTATTCAAGATACAGGAAAAGCTCATTTAGATGGGTTAATTATTGCATAGCTTTTTTGGATTTACTTATTCACTGGTAAATGACTTCCCTCAAAGAGAAAGACTGCCTGGTGATTCCCAGCTTAGGGCTGACAAGGGTCCTGGATGAACAGGGGGTCCGAGGACTCCTTTGGAGGGCTCTGCCACGTCTGAGCTAACATCACGTGACCTGGGTCTCGACATGTCCTAGACCCAAGTGACCCCTTCTTCAGATGAGGAACCTTTTGAAATTTGACCCAAAACAGCCACTGTGATAGGATCATCTTGAAAGCAAGATTGTATGAAGCAGGAGGTACAGTGGGAAACATGGGGACTCGTTGCTTCTGATCTCAGCCTACCTTCCTCCTGGAATCCCTAATTCCCTGCATCCTTACCCCACCGCCCCCGCTGGGGACAGCCAGGCTATGCGGTGGGAGCCAACCAAAGAGCGGCCTCAAACGGGCTTCCAGGGTGCATGAGTCCCATCCTGGCCTTTCCTTGGGCCGTCTGCAGTTAATGTGGCATAGCCTGGGTTAAGGCTATGGTAAATAAAACCAAAAAACTAAAGGAGAAAGGCTTGTACTGGCTACCTAGAGCCTCCTTCCAGAAGCTCAGCTATGGGCCAGTAGCCTACCGCAGGAGGCTTCCACTGCGGGGGAACTGTACAGCAGAGAGGCCCTCTTCTCTCTGACATTTCTTTTAAAGCTGGAAAAGTTATGTCGTGGCCACTCTGAAGAATATTGTATAACATTTTATTTCATCCTTGCATGGACAATGCCACAGTGGAATTAGAAATGGGAATATGGAGAAAGTTCCCACCATGGCTCCCACCGCCCTCCCAGATGAGCTCTTTCTGTTTCCCTGTGTTTGCCTTCAGACTCCAGCACTGACCATGAATAGCACACGTGGCTGTCGCTGTAGTCCAGATATAATTTTGCCATCCTCCTCTTAGAACCTGACACCTTGCAAGTATTTTTCTGTGTTACCGTATAATTTTCATCATCATTTTTACTGACCTTTGCATGTCCCATTCAGGCCATGTGCCATCTCATTCATGCGTCTGCACAGACCCTGCTCCTGAGCTTGCAGGTTGCACATGACTTTGTCTTCTATGCGTCCGACCTCCGGGGACATCTCCTTCCAAGTTTTCCTGCTGGTTTATTACGTGAAGATAAATTCCTGGAGTGGACATGAACGCTGACCATCTCCCCATATTTGTCTTGCCTCCTTATTTCTCCTTTTCTATGAATTTTCGATGTATGCCCTTTATTTTGGGGAGGTCTGGATGATTTTCTATTTCCTAGGAGTACTTTGTATGCTCTAGATGTTATTTTTTTTTTTTAAGATTATTTATTTATTTATTTATTTATTTGACAGTGAGAGAGAGAGATCGATCACAAGTAGGCAGAGAGAGAAAAGGAAGCAGGCCCCCACCAAGTAGAGAGCCCGATGTGGGGCTCGATCCTAGGACCCTGGGATCACGACCTGAGCCGAAGGCAGAGGCTTAACCCACTGAGCCACCCAGGCGCCCAGCATGTTTCCTTTTGTAAAGGTTCTGGTTTGCAGGCAGACCTCTCCCCTGCATGATGCTGGGGAGACCAGGACATCTATAGTGGGTGCGGAGGGGGCACTATTATGAGAGAACCCAAATGAGATAGGCTCAAGTTGCCGAAAGACAGGATGGGATGGTGGGGGACAAGGGTCTGTGTGTGAGTGTTTTTACAGAAGAAAGAACTATTTCAAAGCAGTGCATGATTAGTGAGGGACATTTGGAGAACAGAAGCAAAAAAAAAAAAATTATATATTTTGTCACGTGGCAGGGCCGAATTCTATCGCTGAGTGTTTTCAAATCAAAGAGGCGAACTACCTGACAGGATTTCCCAAAGCATCCTGTTAGATGTGTTCTGTAAACAAAGCCAGGCAGATCCTTGTTATTCGTGGATTCCATTACCCGTGACCCGGCCTCCTCGCTAACATTTACTTGTGTAAGTTTCAAATCAGTTCTCGTCGCACCTTTGTGAGCATTTGTGGGCACGCACAGAGAGGCAGAAACGTGTGAGGCCCTCAGCATGCACAGTCCCAGCCGCGTGTGAACAAGGAGTCCCTTTGCCTTCTCGTCTCAGCTCTCACACTGCAAGCAGGTGTCCTACCCACGATCCTTGTAGTGCCAGGGTTTTTTTGCATTTTTGTGCTCTCTGTGGGATGATGCAATGACCCCCACGTGCAGTGCTGGCGTGCTGTCTGATGCTTCTGAGCATGAGAAGGCTGCGATGTGCCTTATGGAGAAAATAACGCTGTGTTCAATAATTCATGTAGGTGTGAGTTGCAGAGCTGTTGGCCATGAGTCAACAATATGGTACAGCCAGAGAGAGGGAGAGGAAATTCGCCAATCCATACACAAGGTTGCTCCGGGAAGTGCTAAAGTAATACGGATAGTGTGTGAAGAAACATCGGAGAAGTGGCTAACTTTGGGGGTTCACGAGATAACCCGCTAATAAAAAGAGCACAGGAAGGTGCTGTGATGAGGCCGAGAGCCCGAGAAATTTACAGTCTTATTTTCCGAGGTCAGGGAAGTGTGAGACTCTTTGCAACTGGTTTTATTATAAAGAAATACTGGATATAATTACTTGTGAGGAATGCACGTTAAAAAAAAAAAGTGTCTAAATAGGAAAACACATAAAACAGGTGATGTGTTGATCAGCCAACAAAAATGACGACCAGAGGCTTTACAGGAACCTTATCCTGGATTTCTCCTTGGAGCTGGGTCAGTATTCACACACATGGAGATCACAGCAGGCTTACAGACAAGAACTCACACGAATAAGGAGAACCGACTGCATCTGATTGGCCAATGAGTTTGAGAAACTTTACTGCAATGGTTTCCCATGTCTTTCGTTGTACATGTGCCGTGGGGCAAAGTCCCAGACTCACTATGACAAACACACCTCCAGGCCCCTTGGCTAGTGTTGCCCCCCAAATCTGGATTATCAGGCCCTTTACTCTCCATGCAAGGCCTATCAGGAAAATACAGGCCAAGTTGCTCATCTTCAGGGATGGAGAGCCAGATCACATGATTTCCTGAGGTCTCTCCCTTCTTGGCTGTATCCCAGGATGACTCAACATCCACCCAAAATGCTGAGGACGGGAAAGCTGTTGCCTTTGTCACCCTTGGGGCCCTGGGCTTCTGAGGAGTTCATGTTTCTTGTCCTACCGTTTGTGGAAGTCCGTGGGTGCTGGTGGAGGTGATGCCGGTGTCGGTGGTCATGGCCAGCACAGGGCTCCAGACTTCATGTGGACGATCTCAATGAGTGTTGGAACATTCAGGAGAGGTAGAGATGAATGAGGGTTATTCCCATTTTACAGATGAGGCTGTTGAGACTTTCGTGGGCTCAGTACCACACCCGTGGTCACACAGCTCAAGGGGTAAATAGTCTGTATTGCACCAAAATTCATGCTTCTTACCATCGCCCCCTGCAGTCCTTGAAGGGCTTCTGGAAGATGTGACGCTGAATTCCGGGGCAGGGAGTGTTTGAGTCTGCCCGCTGGTGAATGAATCGGGCGATCTTCCTCCCGGAGAGCAGCTACCCCTACTACTCTCTCCTTACTGACTTGGTAACCACAAGGCCTTGATGCACATGTCCTGACACCCATGTGGTGACCAGCATCCAACAAGACTTC